CCCCCTGTTGTGTAGCCCCTCAAAAGAAATAAAAGAAACCAACCCAAGTTACACCAAGGTTCAAAATGTAGAAGTGTCAATGGTATTCGAAAATTCGATTTCAAATTTGAGATTCAAATTTAATTTTTATATATAATATACAAAATATTTAAATATTTTATATAATTTATATATATTATAGTTTAATTATATAAATAATTTATTTRTTTATATACTCTATATAAATAAATATTTATTAAATACCTAAAATAATTAATTGGTCAAATTCGAATCAAATCAAATATTTGAATATTTAATCAAATTTGAATTMGAACATTGATTTTCAATATCTGTTGGATATCAAGTCAAATTCAGATATTGAATTTCCTAATCGGATTTGAATTTGGATATTGCCTGATTCATTCAAATTTGATATGTTTACACCCGTATCAAAATGTCGCAACATATTGGTGCTTATCACAATACATGTATATTTTCAAGGTCACCAATATGTGTGATATTAGACTTTGGTTGGTAGGTTTAGAAGTTTTAAATAATATTACTACTAATAACAATAACAATAACATGTTTATGATGATGCTAAGTTAGGCCCCGTTTGGCGTGTCTTTTTGTGCTGTCTATCGGCTATTTACAAGCCCGGCAGACTGCAATTCGGTCTTTTCTCGTTTGGTTTGTGGCAGATCTAGCCAACAAAAGCCGATGTGCCGAAAAGATGTGAGAAGCCCAAATCAGGCAATTTTTGGGAAGCTCTAAAAGGAGCTTGTGTGTGTCTATGTGTGTTTTATTCATCTTCACATGGAAAGACACACGAAAAGACATGCCTTAACCAAAGGAACTTTAGGCTGCTCAGATCTTAATGCAAAAGCTCAATGCGTCTTTTGACTGTCAAGAGCTACCAGAAGATCTTCCCAAATAGACTTGCCAAACGGCCCCTTATATTCACCAAACCTTGAGTTACAGGTAGAGAAAAGAGAGAAGAGAAGAGATACTTGCATCAAAACTTATACTCATCAAATCAACTAAAAAAATCAATTACAATGACATTTATAAGGGCTTRTATATCCCTTTATAGGCTCCGATTTCAACTAGGAAATTAACCAAAGAGAATTTCTAATTGTTTTAAAATTAAGATAAACCCATAGTGACAAATAAAGACAAACTCTAATTGCCTTTTACTAATTGTACTATAACTAAAATAAAAACTAACTCCAAGATAAGCCCTAAAATAGAAAGACATTAATCCCATAAAAAACCAACACACCATATCAGTAAAATGTCCTTAACTCTCTCAAAACACATCGGATCTTGACCTCATAGATGGATAACTAAATAATCTATCAAATGACACAAATCATGAAAAACAGACATGTTTTCACGCTTGAAAAATAGACTGGAAGAAAAGTGATGTGGTTGCACCTTTAACTTTTCAATTTTAAAATTCCAACTCTCTAATAAGGTTACTTAAACTAGTTTGGTTTTTTAAGATCAACTCTATTCTTACTATTACCGACAAACTAGAAAACAACTTCTAAAAAATTCAAATTAACCAAAAGTCAAATCACTCGGAAATTACATACTTGCCATTAATGCAGGAGTCTTTGCTTTCATGTGTGCATCTATGTCTCCCCGAAATTATACCATCTTTGAGATTGAGAATCATAACCATCCAATCAGCTGTCTCTGAGTAGAACAATAAGCTCTGGTCCATGTAAGCATCCATTTTTGGGATTACAAGGTTGTTCAGTAACAGGGTCCACTGATTAGTTGGTTTGCATTCCACGATGATGCATGTGCCAAAAACTGGACAACCCGATAGCTTTTTTTATTCCTGGAAGAAAATTATATCCATTTCTGGTAGTTTCATGTTTCAAATTGCTTTGTTGGTGCAGTTGAAGAGATTAGAGCTGAAGCTAAAGCAGTTTGCGGAGGTGGAAACCTTGTTGATGAAAGAATGTGAACAGGTAGAGAGGACAAGGCAAAGACTTGCAGCTGAACGGGCCCGGGTTATGTCAACTAGGTTTGGACCTATGGGTACCACTACTACCCTACCAGCTGCTGCTGCCACTGTTGCTGTGGTAAATAATAATGCTGGAACCAGCAGGCAACAAGTCATTTCAGCCTCACCTTCACAGACAAATATCTCTGGATATGCCAATAACCAACTAAACCATCCAAACATATTCATGCCACGACAACCAATGTTTGCTTTTGGGCCAAGGTTGCCCCTTTCTGCAATCCACCAGCCTGTGACACCCACCACCTCCAATGCCATGTACACGTCCGCCCCAGGAAATATGCCCCCTGCCCTTAGTCATCCAATGTTAAGACCTGTATCTGGAACAAACACTAATGTAGGTTGACCACCGGAAAATCGGTTTTTATGCAGAGCTGTATGATTTAATTGGACTCTCTCTCTCTCTCTCTCTCGTCCAATAGTTTGGACTTCGAACCAGATAGCGGCCACAGCTTCAGTTGTGCAGGCCGCAATGAATTGGTATATTGCACGCACGATCTGGGGCCTAACTGGTTCATCTATTTAAATAGTTGGACACCTGAAATGGAATGCCTTGGTATCTTTGCTGGATAGGGATATGGAATAACCAGCCAACCAGGTTTGCAAGTCTGGGAACCTTACATTTCAGTAGTTGTTTGACCCGAGTAACCCCTACTACTTGGGTCAGGCGGTTTAAACCTTATGGTGCTGTTCCATCTATCTAGAACCATGCCATCTTTGGCAGTTGTCAACCAGAACCCTTCAATTCATCGACGCATTTACATGCTTCAAATTGCACTGGCAATGCAGTCTTTGGTATTTGTCATAAATGTTAAATGACAAAACTCTTTTGATTAGCTGATCTTTCATATCTTCAACAGCTTTCATTTTCTTCTCCTTGTGGCTTGACATCTCTAGTCTTTATCATTCTCATCTTGGGCACCCTCTTATACGAACGAGAGACGTGATTATCGACCATTTTTTCCATTTCCCAACTGAAAACGTTGCCTTTTTTAAGTTTCACAAACGATGATGTGAAAAGTTCCCTTTTCACATTCTTTTCATAACGGGGACAGTTTTAGAWGATACCACCTCTTTCTCAATCCCACCTTGTTTGTCTTAGGATGAAAACGGATAACTGATTACTCCACCCCAAAAATGGTCATTGCCCAATATTGGTCTCAACTATCTGGGGGGTCCTTGGAGGGGTGGACAGTAGGGATGGTAATTTTCCCCATCTCCGATGGGGAGCTGACTTCTCTGACCTGATGGGTCGGGGATGGAGATTATTTTGACAGGGATGGGGATTGAGGTCCCCGCCCTGCACCGACTCTGATTATATATTTATATATATTTAAATATTATTTATATTATATATATATATATTAAAATATATTTAAAATTTTTATTTATTTTAAGTAAATTTATTTTTCAAAAAAATTATCTAAAAAAAATTGGGGATTCGGTTCCCCACGGGGAATCCATCCCTGTCGGGGATCGGGGATGGATGACAAATTTTATCCCCAGCGAGGATCAGAGACGAAGATGAGGGTTAATTTCATAATTGGGGGCGGGGACGGGGAACATGATCCCTACCCCGTTGCCATTAGTGGACAGTGGACAGGAAACGAACCTCACCTTTGGCATTTTATGCACAAAGTGGCCTATCTCAAACTCGAACCCACATTTTCATGCTTGCAGCCCAGGATTTTACCACGATATACCAAGCAATAGCCTATCCGGAAGACTGAAAGTAAGATGGAGTGATGTCAATTGATAGCTTACCGAACATCCTTATTTGATAGGGTCTACCAAGGGTTTCCTTAGTATTCACAAATTTCTGCCCGTTTGCAATTGGATCCCTCTCTGGTCCTGCTGCAATCATTTGATATATGTGATTGGTTGTTCATTTCTAATGGTCTATTTATCTGCGTTTTGGTTTCTCAGCGCTTTTCTAGGTCTTAATATGCAAGAAGAGTTTCTAAAGTATCAACTTCATATTCTTTAAAAATAAGTGTAGAATTTGAGACAAAGAAAACTCCAAGACAGATGTATTTCCATTTTCCACACAAAAATAATGCAGGCACTACAGTCTACAGTTCATTAGACATCTAAAGATCTTTTCAATCCTACTACTTTTCAATCTGTATGGTGACATGGGTGATGTTGTGTTCTCTTCTAATGTAATCTATAACCTTTTCTAGCACAACATCAGCATCTGCATCAGGCTTGGTTTTAACATGGCATGCCAATAGGATCTTCCCCACAGTGATGGCCCATACATGTAGCTCATGAATGGCAACAACCTCTTCCATCCTGCACAACCCTTCTTGCAGAATTGTTGTGTCAATTTCTCTTGGTGTGCTCTCCATTAAGATCTCTAGTATGTTTCTCAACATCTTTATTGTTGTGCTCAACACAATCACTGAAAAAATGAGGGTGCATATTAGGTCAATTTTCTTCCATTTAGGTCTGTACCATATCACTGCACCTGCTATCATCACACCAATACTTTGAATGGAGTCTCCAAGAACATGCAGATATGCTCCTTGCACACTGATGTTCTGTTTCAGTTGGCTCTTCTTTTCATGCTTGGCTTCTGACTGATTTAAATTATGATGTTGATGATGTGTCATAACGTTGACCCCATGATGGCCATGACCATGATCATGATCACCATGGCTAGAATTACCTTGCCCATGGTCATGCTCAACATGACCATGACCATGACCATGATGATGATGACCCAACAAGAGAGCCATGACAACATTAACTAATAAACCAAATCCAGCCACAACAAACATTACAAAGCCATGGACTTCTCCTGTGCCATGGATGATTCTAATGACAGCTTCATAAACCAGGATCCCTGCAAGAAGCCAGATCAATTGAATGGAGACCAGAGCTCCAATGATCTCAACCCTGAAGAAACCATATGTTTGACGTGGTGTTGCTACCCACCCAGATGCCCAGAGCGAGAATAGAGAGATGGTGAAAGAGGCAACATCTGAAAGTAGATGGGCTGCATCAGTTAAGATAGCAAGGCTATTAGCTTTAATGCCACCAGCTACTTCTATGCTCATAAAAATAATACATAGTGCAACTGTCAGAAAAAGCTTCCTCATAGATGCATGTCGTTCTTTGGCATCCTTGGCCCGAGTTCCGGCATCAGAGAAACCACAGGCTGCACCACCACAAACATCATTTTTTCTTCTTGGCCCATCGACTGCAAAGTCTCCAGATATCTCAATAATCTGCCCATGTTCCTTCTGTTCGCAAATTTGAACTTCCATCTGAAAATTTATAAGATCAAACAGATAACCAATGTGAAAGATGATAAGAAAGAATAAAAAGTTTATTTGGCTGGTGGGGAAAGAGTTTAGTTTAAGGCTCTTGAAGAACTATAAATCTTTTCAGGGATCAGATGGTTGAAATTTATTGGGCTTCATTCATGGTTGGTCCAGATCCTTGGTATGTACCATGGGGCACCTTATGGAGGTCTGAGATCCATTTACAGATCATGCAGCCTCATAGGGATGCCAATGGGTAGGGTTAAGTGGACCCGATCCTACTGGGTTAGGGTTGGTCAGCCTTTTCAAGTTGGAGGGTCAGGTTAGGGTTGAGACTTGAGACCAACTCATCTAGTTGGAATTGAAGCATTGAAACATCTCTACATGTATCCTTCTTGGTGGAGTATGGATGTACTATTTGAGGGGGCAGGTTAGATTGGGTCAGGCATCCCATTTCATATAGTCAGGTCAGCTTCTTCAGGTTGAGCCAAACTCGAGTCGAATCCTACGAGGGGTTTGAACCCATAATACCGAGTGACCAATTGACCAATTGAACTACTGGGTCAAGATGTGAACCAAGGTTAAATGTACGGTATCGTATCAGTAGTGCCTCAATAAGCTAAATATAAGTCAGTCCTAAGAGTTAAGACAGACATACCCCGTGTGAAATTTTGAAAAGAAAAAATAAAAATAAATAGCGAGTGATGAAAACACCCACGTCCCACGCGCATGTTAGTGTTATCATACTTTGAACCATGGCGAGGAATGAGGATGGTAGACCTCATCCTTGTGATGACAMGTTTTGAAAAGCCCAGATTGCTAATACAACAAGTGTGTGGGTCCTGGTTTTCTGCTCACACAAATGTAATGCCACATTTAAGTTGAGGACAGGTGGCATAGATAGGTTGTATTCTTATCCAGCAGCAAATGTTAGTAGCAGATCATAACTCTTCTGATATTTTAACTGTAAAACACAAGAGAGCTCTGATTACATTCATGGAAAGTTGACTTCAACTTCTAACTAAAAATATCATACAAAACAATAATTTCAAGAGGATTTTTTTTTTCTCAACAATGTTCTAGAAAACAACTGGTTCAGTCCTTTCTTTATATCATCTATCTATTTCCAGAAAAACTGAGAGAGGATTTCTTCCACATATTCACTTTGTTCTTTCTCAATCTAATAATCATATGGAGAAAAAAAATTGGGTGTTCAGGTGGTTTGTCAAAAAAGAGGAAGGATGAATGGGAGGCGCTTCTGTAATGGAGGTCTAGACGTTGGATCAGACTCCTTCTGGACGGTTATAGGCACTAAGGCAAAAATAGTATTTGTTTAATTTTAATTAAAGAAGAAAACAACTGTTCTACTTGTATGAAAATTACTATATAGAAAGAAATTTATCAGTCAAACAATGTTCTTGAGAAACCATGATTATAGATAGAAAGAGAAAATGCTCACTTCAGGTGAAAAAGATTAATTGTAAGAAAAGCATATAGTGAACTTACATGTTTCAGGACTAGGAGGTTTGAACTGAAGAACATGTACACTACAAGATTTTGAACAGAGACTATGTAAGAAGAAGTTGGAAAGGGGAAGCTTTGAAATACCAAGGCTAGGAAGTATCTGTAATCTGTCTATATATATACACATGTACTGGATGGATGGTGGAAGTTGATAAGGATAGTGTAAAAGAGATGAGAAAAAAAAAAGGTAAATGGATTGTGAATTAGCTAACATGTGTGGGCAGAGGATGTCAATGGGTAGATAATTACACTAGGCGTGCTCTTTATATGGTACAGACTGCCAAATCGGACCGGATCAAATCGAAATTGGTGGTTTGATCTGACCTGGAAAATTTTAAAATTTCGGTCTGGTTTTCTGAATTTCAAAAACTTGACTCAATCGTAAATCAAATTATTATATTTGATATTTGAATTATATTTGTTATTTATGCAGGTATATGTTTTACTTGATCTTTCTGATTGATTCAAGTTCAAAAAAACAGTCTGGTCTGATTTGGTTTCTATACTAAAATGATTTGATCGGATCTGAAAATTTTTCATACCATAATTTTCCGGTTTGATCTGATATTATTTTCCAAATGAGACTGTAGGGGACCATAGCAGAAAGACCTCTAGATTGATGTTGACTGGTAGCCGATTAAACAACCTCATTTAATGTTGTGTAGTGAAATAGAAAATGTATGGGCTCTAATCCAAGCAAATACCTTCATGCCAAACCTATTAGATGGATTGTATGAGTAGCTAACAGTTGGCATCACCCAATTTAATAAGGATTGAAGGCATTGGAAATTGCCACCCAACACCAACAGTTGGGCATCACCTAATTTCTCTTGGCACCCTCAATTAGGGCCCTTTTTATCTGGTGCAATGGTAAAATCTCAGGCCGATAAGTGTGAGAACGTGGGCTTGAAACTATGAATCTAAGAGCAGCCACTTTGTACAAAACAAAATACCAACAACGGTTATAACCGTATCCAGTYCAACCCTCCCAAGACCCTACATAATTGGTACCAACATTGGGTAATGGATTTTATTGGCAACCTCAATTAGCGCTTGTGGAGTTGTGGTCCCTTCCCTTACATTACAACCCAAAATTGTTTTGTTGCGATAACGCCAAGAAAAATGGTTGCATGCTGCAAGCCTGCAACAGTTTTGTCTTTAGTCGTAAAGGTTTTCTGTATGATGTATCCTTAATCATCACTCATAATGGCTTGTTAAAAGTTCATGGGCTGGTTGAGGGTTGAAGAAAAAGGCACCTGAGGTTTTATATTAGCATATTAATTAATTCCTTTAACAGAAGCTGTAATTGAACAGCCATACTATTATTCTTTCATTATGTAATATACAACCCACCTCCATTAGRAAACCAACTGTCTAACCACCATGCCTTCTTGCTCTTTTATATGCTGACTGGAGAATGATGCCTGTAATGTGACTTAGAAGGTGAGAAATGTAAGAAGCTTGTTTGTTGGCATCTTTTCACTCTTACAGTACTGCTGAGAGAACCCAAATGGATGCAGCATTCTCCAGTCTCCAGTATGGTATACATATCTTCTCTTTATAACTCATCTCTACCTTACACTCTATTTCGAACGTATTGATCTTAAACAGGGGCAAAAGGCCTTTATTCCTAAAGGAGCTTAGCTCCAATGTGTTGTAATCTGTCATTCACCACAATTAGCAAATGCAAAGATAGCCACACCCTCAGAACTGGTTTTAAAGGAAATATGGAGTGAAGGACAAGAAAATAAATTAATGGATATTTTGTATGAGAGAGAGAGAGAGCTTGCCTACAGCAATCATGGACATTTCATTTGCAGTAAAATACAGTCGGTAAAAAAAAAAAAAAAACTGATTAACAAATATATCATCATCCGGCAGCTTCCAACAACAACCAGGAAAAGCCACCACAGAAGGCAGAGAATGAAAGTGACCCTACTGGAACAACAGATCATCAAGTTTGTTTCCATTTGAGTACAAGACAGCATCTCAATTGTAGACCATGTACTTGGGTGTCGCACTGAACTTTTGGTAGCCTTTGATGACCTTATTAACTGCATCAAGGAAATCTTTCTCAGTCACTGTCTTCCTTCGTGCCCTGATAGCAAACATCCCAGCCTCTGTGCACACGCTCCTTATGTCAGCCCCTGTAAACAAATCCATGACACCGAAGTCATAAATCCATACAACTAGGAAATTCAAGTGTTATATTAGCATAATGGGGCAATAGGTTTATGAAACCTAGACTTTATAAACAGCAGGCTTATAGGCTTAAGTGGGCAAAGTGTTATATTATTACAAAACATTTATGAATGGGAAAAAAAGTAAAAAAGGATAAATCACCTAGGCAGAATCATATTTCCAGTATGACCCCAATTTCTTCAATGTAAAAAGCACATTTCAGCTATGTTACCCAGGGAAAAAATTGTCTGTCTATGTTCAACAGCCTGTACTGTCCACAGGGCTTCTATGTCACACATTAGTCCATATGAACTCCATGCAACAGTTAAACATACAGAAGGCATGGTTGTATAGACTGATGTAACATGGAGAGCTGGAGAGACTGGTAGGCTATCAAATGTGGACACCAAGTTTTTTCAGTTTCCCAGATACGGCAAAGATACAACTGGATATGGTGACCAGTACAGAATCTACACCAAAAATTAAAGTGTCTGAGACGACACTGCACCCATGAACAGAGACCAAGGTATCATTATTTTTCGGCCTTTTCATGCTGCAACAAAGGCAGCCTATATATTAAGTTGAAATCAGGCCATGATTTATGGATAACCTATGATAAAATAATTTCACACAAATAACTAATTTGGCAAAATTCATCCAGCCATTTGGATATTATCCCAATGAATTAAAAAGTGACTAGAAAAGCACAAGGTTAGGACCTAAGGTGCAAGGCGAGGTGTGTGCTGGGACAAAGCAAGGTGAAAATTATTGAAAATTTTAAAAATAAAATATAACATTAATACATAAAAATAGGGTTAGCTTTAGTGTTTTAAAAAGCCTATTAGCTCAAATGATAATACAAGAGCATCACACATATAAAAACAAATTCAAATTGAAAATGAAGGAAAATAAGAGAATCATACCAAAATGTTTCATATACTCATTTTTTTTTTATAAATTGTAAATACTCAAAATTTCGATCATGTAAAATTCTCAATGTTTTGTTGCATTAGCTAATGTGATGTWAGACATCTTGCATTCCTAATCCTAGAAGGTCGGGGCCTTCACACTGATATTTCTTCAAAGGCAAGTTCAAACAAGTCCATGTGGAGATTTGGAAGTAGTGCTACCAATCTGAATTTTTTGCCCATATATGTAAGGGGGTAGGTCTTATCATTTTGGTCATAGCTTATTTTAGGGTTAGGGATCAAAGGTCAGTTGTATAATTGTTGCCTATTTTGCAGAAGCAACTAGGGCTTCCAGGTATTCAAAATATCTTTTTTCTTTCTGCTTGTTTTTAGTACACAAGCACCAAAGAAAGGTATTTTAGAATTTAATTGACCATCAAAAAGGCGAAAAAAAACATAAAAATATATGAAAAAGTAAAAAAAAAGAACAAAAGCAAGCTCAGAAAAGCTGCTTGTACAAGGTGACCCAAATATGTACCTAGGTGCACCAGATTTGCACCCTGCACTTGGGTTGAGGCAAGGTGCCAAGTATCTGCTACCCCCAAGACACTAGAGCCACATACCTCATGTATTACCCCATCAATGACAACATACAAGTATTTTTTTGGTAATAATGACAACAGAGAAATTCTTCTTTTTTTTTTTGGTAATAATGACAACATATGAATATGAAACATGTTTGAGTGGCTGTAGCATTTAGTGGGTAGTGTCTTGTGGGTAGCAGTTCCAGTCTCCAAGATGAATGCCTTAAACTGTACTTTGTTTGTATACCTAGGCACGCCTTTCAAAACATTGCATCCTCTAGTAAACAAAACAAGCAAAATATTTTCTTTTAGAAAGCAAGCAGAAGACTGCTTGGCGGGTGAAGCAAAATCTGCCATCAAAACTTTTCCAAGAAAGCATCTTCAGAGGGTTGAAGCAAGGTGCATTCCTTAAACTGTAATTGGCCTGTGCACCTAGGGCCCTAGGCACGCCTTTTAAAACATTGCATTATCTAGTCTAGTCAAGAAAATCAGTCATCAACGTTCAGAGACTTTTCCAAGAATGCATCTTCAGAGGGCACCCAGGCACACCTTTTAAAACACTGCCTTATCTAGTGAATAAAACAACCAAAAGGTTTTTCTTTTGGAAACCAAGCAAACAACCACTTGGTGGGAGAAGAAAAATCTGTCACCAATGTTAAGAGACTTGCCCAAGAAAGCATCTTCATAAGATTGGAACAAGGTGCATGCCTTAAACTGTACCTTTCCTGTGCACCTAGGCACACCTTTAAAATCATTGCATTGTTTAGTAAAAAAACAACAAAGAGTTTTCTTTTGGAAGGTTGGTGAGTGAAAAAAAAAATCCGTCATCAATGTTAATAGACTTTTCTGAGAAAACATCTTCAAAGGGTTGCAGTAGACTAAAAACATCTAATTTATTTAACCCCAGAAGTTGGCATTTTGTAGGCACAGCCAATTTCCTAAATAGCAGTATTATGAAGGAAAGACAGGAAAGAGTTCTCAAAGTAGCTCTGTTTACCGGTGGAGTTGGGGCAAAGTCGAGCCAAAAGCTCAAACCGTATGTCTCTTTCACAGTTCATTGTTCGTGTGTGGATCTTAAATATTTGTGTTCTGCTCTCTAAATCAGGTAACCCGAATTCAACCTTACGATCTAGCCGCCCCGGACGTAACAACGCTGGATCCAGTGTGTCAGGTCTGAAAAGATCATAAAAATAAATACAATAAATGTGAAAAGTGAGATGACTGAGTAGGAAACTAATCATGAAGTGATGTTTTTGATGGGCATCATAAAATAATGTCAAGTCCTAAAATATGAAACCTCAGAATATGGGCTACAATGCAATTGATCATTAACCATGACTGAGCATGAAAGTGGATCCTTGACTTAATAATATACCATTGGAGTATTGAAATCAGTCACCTAGACAATGCGCTCTTGTTACCAAAATCAGCACTCAGAAAATTCATAAGATCCAGTCAAAATTCAGATCAAAGCTATGAATTCATAAGAAAATTCATCTCTAGGATAAACCTTGACTGTAGCATCAAACCAGAGATCTTGACTATAGTACAATCTTCTAAAACTTGACAACAATGAAGACAGTAATGCAAGAGCTGGAGAATCAAATATGGAATTTTCTTGAAATTTTTGTATTTTTTGTATATTTGGACAGCATGGGTATTTTCGTCACTTTAACTAGTCCTGTGTGGGGCCTGGGCTATAACATCTTGTTCCTCTAGTTTAGTAGGGCTTGTCTTTCAATTTTCAGTTTATTTGCACTAGTAGATAGAAAGTTATTGTGTTTCTTGATGCACAAGACAAGGAATGGCATTTTTGTAATTATGGTGAACAGTATTCCGGGCCACACATGTCACTCCATAAAAGTATAAATAGATGTATTCTCTTCCTTTTGAAGCTAATGAATAAATGAAGATTTCTTTAGAGCAAGTTTGCTGTATGGAGTGATACCTACAAACCCTAGAGTGATTCCAGGACCCCTTGGAGTGATTCCTTGGGATTTCTCTCTCATTTCTCTTTCTCCACCCCTTCTCCTTCCTCTTGCTCTCTCATTTCTGTCTAGTGATAGTTTGTTCTAGCCCTACTGCATCAGAAAGTACCAACAACATCTATCAAGCAACTATTCTGCTCAATAATAGTTTCAGTTAACTATCAAGTTCTTCAGCATTGTTTGCTATATGTAATATACATACATATATGGGAACCCCTACTAGTTGGGTTGTTCAGTGATGTTTAATGATCAACAAATTTTCCCAAGGCTTTAATCATAAAAAAAAAAAAAAAAATTCCCAAGGCTCAGTTTGGAAGGAGTACAAATACAAATTTGTAGAGTGCAAAACCTTGTATTTTGTATGTATTTGCACAGTACATATTTGTATTTGTACTCCTACCAAATTGAGCCAAAGGAAAAATTGGTTTGGTGCCCAAAATAGCCTCACAAATTCCTTTTACCATCCCATCGGACCCCCATCCCCCACAAAATTGGGCAAATTTATTATTCTAATTCAATGGTGATTGGGAGAATTAAATGGCAACTGTTTTTTCGACTTCCATCCCAAAAGAGTTTGATGTAGAAAAGAGCCACACCAAAGAAGCAATTAACAATTCCCACTCCCATGGTTTTATGTCCAAGCTAGGACCTGCATCAGGCCCAGGAATTTGCAGGCCAGACCTAGGCCTAATACTTTAGGTCCAGCCCAGAGTTTACATGTTTATATATTATTAAATATACATTGACACACACATATGAATATTATATACAAATATTATGATATGATAATAAATGCATACTATATATAATATTTAAAGTTGTAAGCCCAGAAGCCTGGCTTGGTCCAGACCCCTTCACATCCAAGGGCCAGTTTTAATTGTGGAAGACACATTTTACAGGTGGACAGAAAACAGATCAGATCGAATCAGATAAAAGGTAGATCCTTTTTTTTTGATAAATGAGTGTAATTTTATTAAACATAGAAAGAGTGTACAAGGTGTTACCTCCCCCTAGAACTGAACAATATGCACATAAACATATACAAGCCTGAATTACAATTATAAGGTAGCCCAAAACATGACAGGATTCAGTGGGTTAGCAGATCGGCAAATGCAATGGCTGATTCTCTGGCTAAACAAGGGGTATCAAGGGGAGATCTGTTTTGGGCTACCTTTTTTTATGAATGAATATAATTTATTAATTCAGAAAAGGGAGTACAGGGAACTCAAAAGAGGCACGAGCTGTTACCTCTTCAGGGCAGTATTACATCAAATAAAAAACAGAATTAGTCATAAATACAATTACAAAGGAGCCCAAAATAAATGTTCCCTAGTAGCCCCCTGCTTAGCTAATCCATCCGCTAAGGTGTTTGCTGATCTTCCCTCCCAACAAAAGGTAACTGTCATATTTCTTGTAAACCA